CAAATTTCACTAAAATTTCACCTGGGTTTACTTCACTGGCACGTTTCTAATCAAATATGATTAAAATTTTACCTGAGTTTTGTTCATTAGTGCATTTTCAATCAAATTTGACTAAAACTTCATCTGGATTTTGTTTAGTGGTGCGTTTTCGATCAAATTTGACTAAAGTTTCACTTGGGTTTAGTTTGTTTCTAATCAAACTTGACTATAATTTCACCTGGGTTTCATCCGTCGGCATGTTTCCAATCAAATTTGACTAGGTTTTATATGTGTTTTGTTCGTAGGTACATTTTCAGTGAAATTTGACTAAAATTTCACCTGAGTTTCGTTCATTGGCACGTTTTCAATCAAATTTATTAAAAATTTATCTGTGTTTTGTTCATTGGCCCGTTTCTAATCAAATTGGACTAAAATTTCACTTGGATTTTATTTGTTGGCGCGTTTCCAATCAAGTTTGACTAAAATATTACATGAGTTTGGTTTAATGGCGCGTTTTCGATGAAATTTGACTAAAATTTCTCATGAATCTTGTTCATTGGCTAGTTTCTAGTCAAATTTGACTAAAATTTCACCTAGATTTTGTTTATTGCTATGTTTCTAATCAAATTTGACTAAAATTTCATCTGAATTTAGTTCAATGGCACGTATTCAATCAAATTTGACTAAAATTTTACATGAGTTTGGTTCATTGGCGTGTTTTCAATCAAATTTGACTAAAATTTCATCTGAATTTAGTTCATTGGCATGTTCTAAATCAAATTTGACTAAAATTTCACATGGATTCAACTCTTTGGAGTGTTTCTAATCAAATTTGACCAAAATTTAATCCGAGTCTTGTTTATTAGCGCGTTTCTAAGCAAATTTGACAAAAAGTACACTTGAATTTTGTTCGTTAGCGTGTTTTCATTCGAATTTGACTAAAATTTCATATGGGTTCTGTTAGTTGTTGCGTTTTCAATTAAATTTAACTAAAATTTCACATGACTTTTGCTCATTGGCGCATTTCCAACTAAATTTGACTAAAAGTTCATATGAATTTCGTTGATTGGCAGGTTTGTAATCAAATATGACTAAAATTTTATCTGGACTTTGTTCGTTGGTGTGTTTAAAATCAAATTTGACTAAAATTTCACATTAACTTAGTTTATTGGCGCGTTTCTAATCAAATTGGACTAAAATTTCAACTGGATTTAGTTAATTGGCCTATTTGTAATTTAATTTAACTAAAATTTTATCTAGGTTTTGTTCGTTGCCACATTTTCAATCAAATTTGATTAAAATTTCTCATGAGTTTCATTGGTGCTTTTTAATTGAATTTCACTAAAATTTCACCTGGGTTCACTTTACTGGTGTGTTTCTAAATAAATTTGACTAAAATTTTACCTGAATTTTGTGCGTTAGCGCATTTTCAATCAAATTTGACTAAAATTTCACTTGGGTTTAGTCTATTTCTAATCAAATTTGACAAAAAGTTCACCTGAATTTCATTAGTCGGCGCGTTTCCATTCAAAATTGACTAAGGTTTTATTTGAGTTTTGTTAAATTTGACTAAAATTTCACCCGAGTTTAGTTCATTGGCACGTTTCCAGTCAAATTTGATTAAAATTTTATTTGTGTTTAGTTCATTGGTATGTTTCTAATCAAATTAGACTAAAATTTCACCTAAATTTTGTTCGTTAGCGCATTTTCAATCAAATTTAACTAAAATCTCATCTGAATTTTTTTTAATTGGTACATTTCAAAATAAATTTGACTAAAATCTAACATGAGTTTGGTTTATCAGCGTGTTTCCAAAACATTTGACAAAAATCCTCATGACTTTGGTTCATTGGCGCGTTTCCAATCAAATTTGACTTAAATCTCACATGAGTTTGGTTTATAGGCACGTTTTTTTTATCAAATTTGACTAAAAGTTCACCTTGGTTTTGTTCATTGGCGTGTTTCTAATCAAATATGACTAAAATTTCATCTAAACTTTATTCGTTGGCACGTTTCCAGTCAAATTTTATTAAAATTTCATATGAATTTGGTTAATTGGATCGTTTCCAATCAAATTTAACTAAAATTTGACCTAGATTTAGTTCATTGGTGTGTTTCTAATTAAATCTGACTAGAATTTCATCTGGGCTTTGTTCGTTGGCGCGATTCCAATCAAATTTGACTAATATTTCATTTGAGTTTTGTTCATTGGCGCATTTCCAATCAAAGTTTAGTAAAATTTCGCATGAGTTTGGACCATTGGCGTGTTTCCAATCAAATTTAACTAAAAGTTCACTTGAATTTTGTTCATTGGCTTGTTTCTAATCAAATATGACTAAAATTTCATCTAGGCTTTGTTCGTTGGCGCGTTTCCAATCAAATTTGACTAAAATTTCACATGAGTTTGGTTCATTGGCACGTTTCCTATCAAATTTGACTAAAATTTCTCCTGATTTTATTCATTGGTGTGTTTCTAATCAAATTTGACTAAAATTTCATCTGAATTTTGTTCGCTGCCACATTTGCAATTAAATTTGGCAAAAATTTCACATGGATTCAGTTCTTTGGCGTGTTTCTAATTAAATTTGACTAAAATTTAATCTGAACCTTGTTCATTAGTGCATTTCTAATCAAATTTGACTGAAGTTTCATCTAAATTTTGTTCCTTGGCACGTTTTCAATCAAATTTGACTAAAATTTCATCTGGATTTAGTTAATCAACGCATTTTGAATCAAATTTGACTAAAAATTTACATGGGTTTAGTTCTTTGACATGTTTCCATTCAAATTTGATTAAAATGTAATATGAGTCTTGTTCATTAGCGCGTTTGTAATCAAATTTGACTAAAATTTCCCTTGAATTTTGTTCCTTGGCGCGTTTCCAATCTAATTTAACTAAAATTTCATTTTGTTTTTTGTTCATTGGCGCGTTTCTAATTAAATTTGACTAAAATTTCACCTGAATTTTGTTCGTTAGCATGTTTCCATTCAAAGTTGACTAAAATTTCATCTGAGTTTTGTTCATTGTTGCGTTTTCAATCAAATTTGATTAAAATTTCACATGATTTTTGGTAATTAGCGTGTTTACAATCAAATATGACTAAATGTTCACCTGGGTTTCGATCAATGTCGTGTTTATAATCAAATTTGACAAAATTTCATCTAGGCTTTGTTTGTTGTTGCGTTTTCAATCAAATTTGATTAAAATTTCACATGAGTTTGGTTCATTAGTATATGTCCAATCAAATTTGACAAAAAATTCATCTGAGTTGCCCGTTTCCAATCAAATTTGGCTAAAATTATATAAGTTTAGTTAATTGGTGAGTTTCATTGGCACGTTTCCAATCAAATTAGAATAAATTACATGGATTCAATCCTTGATGAAGGAGCTAAAGATATTACAGAGAACGGTGCCAAAGATATGGTGTGATAATCTAAGCACAAGTGCATTGGCTTCAAACCCAGTTTACCATGCATGCACCCAGCATATAGAGCTTGATGTTCACTTTGTAAGAGACAAGGTTCTAAGAGGAGAATTGAAAATTAACTACGTACCAACATCAGACCAAATAGTAGATCTGCTGACAAAACCACTCACTCATTCAAGATTCTTGTCTCATAGAGACAAGCTTGGAGTGGTAGAAACACACTCCACCTTGAAGGAGGGAGTTAGAATATTCGAGCCAACATAGCAGGAATGTGTAACATTCAGCAGCATAACTGAATTGGTTGTGCATGGTGAACAAATTCAATTAGATCACATGGCAATTCAGTTAGATTAGAATATTCCTTTTATGCATAATTGCTTGTATAGATTATTTGTGTATATAATGCAGGTGAAATGAAAAGGATCAGACGTCCTCTTTAGAGAAATTCCCCTAAATGCTGACTTTGTGAAACATCAAATTGCTTAGTGAAAGGATTGTTTATTGAGGCTTAGTCTGTTTGGATGCAAATCAGTCGTGTTCTAGCATGATTGTCACTCATTTATAAAAACCTTATGTAACTCAATACTTCAATTCTTTATAATCAAGACAAAAATATAGTCGACTCAGGGGTGGACCCATTAAGGGCCTAGTGGGGGCAGTCGCCCCCACTGAAATTTCAAATATCTTGAGAAAAATGTGAAGACAAATGTTAAGCATCTAGTCTAGTTGTTATTATTGCTTTAGATATAGGAACTAGGAAGCCCTGAGTTCGATTCTCAAAATGCTCTTTTTGTCATTCTTCTTGTATTTTCATTTTGGCTCTTTCATTCTTTTGCTTTCACAGTTTATTTTACCTCTCTTTTTTTGTTTCGCCTCCACTGAAAAATAATCTTGAGTCCGCCCTTAAGTCGACTCCAACTTCCACACCTTAGTACTAACAACTATAGGAAAGAATTATCAAGGGTCAAAAAAGATGAAATCCAATTCACTCAGAATTTTCCATCTTTTGTCGCCTTCATTGCGAAGGCAAAGCGAATTCAAGAAATGTTTGGAAATGGTACATGAATATTGACCTGGTTGTTCATCATTCTGGAATCTTATTGGGAAACTAAATCCATAGTTTTGATCTATTTATTTTAAAATTTTCATATGGTTCTGTTATTCCTTTTAATCTTTGAAGTTAAAGAATGGTGGTTTGTTTTGGTACTGGTGAGACAATTGAATAGTACTATCTAATCCATAATCTCGTAATATTAATGATTTCATGGTAGTTATGGAAATCCCTTTCGAACTAATGATAAATTGGGTTTGACAAGAGAATCCCTACAGCTAAAGTGGCTGCACATGAAGGTCCCTTCGGAAAAATGGTGGGTTCAAAGGTCCAGTGGCTGAATTAGATTTATGTCACAAATTTAAAATTGACCATTCTATTAGACTTTTTACATTGTGATCTACTGTAATATATGATTTATGTCATAAAACATAATAAACTTATAAATGAAGTGTTAGGATCCAAATCAAAGTGGATTTTAGTAATAACAAATACTAAGCATTAAAAATGTGGGATAAAAACATTTATTATAAACCAAACACTGTCTTTAAGAGAATTACATAACTGAACACACATCAGAACTCTTTGGAAGTTCTAAACAAAAACCAGAAAGGTCCATTAACTGGCACGTACATATGATTAATTATTGATAAACCTAAACTTCCAACTTGGCATCAACTCAGACATCATGCTTGCAAGAACAGAGCGACTGTGAGAAACTGAACCGAATACAAATGAAGAAGAAAGTGTATCAACACTATCGGATAAAGAGAACTTGCCTCATAAGGAATGGTTTAAGAGAGCCAATTGAGACCCTCGTAAAGCCCCTTTTCGGACGTGGCATAGGTACTCTGGATGTACCTGGAAGCAGCAAGCGAAACCAACTAAGGTTAAAAAAAATAGCAAACAAAGACAAATGGCAATAAAGAACCAATATTTGTTTACCAGTGATGCTTCCTTAGCGAGTGCAAGCCAAGCTTGTCTGTTATTTCAGCAACAGTCATTGCATGGGGGAGATCTTGTTTGTTGGCAAATACAAGTAATGGAACATCTCGAAGCTCATCCTGAAATTGAACCAACATTATTATGTGATTATCAAAATTATCTTTTATTGTTTTCATATAATTAAAAGAATAAATAACAAAAACAAGACAGACCATTTCTATATAGAATTGAAGTTAAGATTAATTTAATCAACTGTAAGTCTACTATATTATTGGGATATAAAATTGACAAGATGGGAAATTTTTAGGATTTCCGAAGACTAACAGTTAAAGATAGGAAATTTACCTCATTCAACATCCTGTGCAGTTCATCCCTTGCCTCCACAATACGATCCCTGTCATTGCTGTCAACCACAAATATGATTCCCTGGGTGTTTGGGAAGTAGTGCCTCCACAATAGACGGATCTGTGAAATGCAAAAGTTTCTCCATGCTCAGAATCACAGATCTCAACCTCATATAAAGAAATGGTTATAGGTTGTTAAAACAAAAGTTCCCACCTTGTCGTCACCATCGAAATCCCAAATAGTGAAGTTGATGTTGTTGTTCTCAAAAGCCTCGACGTTAAATCCTGCATATGATAAATATCAGAAAGAGGTCCGTGAGAGGAACTGAAAGAAACAGAGTTGCTACGTTTGCATGAATCTATATACCCATGGTACGAGAGGTAGTTATGATCTCTCCAAGCTTAAGCTTGTTCATGATGGTGGTCTTACCAGTAGCATCAAGACCAACCATTAGAATGCTCACTTCCTTCTTGGAGGAAACCCGGGTGAACGCCTGCCCCATTTCTCTTTCTATCTTCTGATCCCTACAGCCAATCAAGATTATAATACATCAGATTTTACTAGTAAATTCATGTATGAACCAAGAAGAATTTCTAACAGAAAAAACCGTGGTTGGGAAAATGAGAATATGTGAGCAATTAAATGATTGCAAGCTAAAATTTGAGGTGATTGTACGTAACTGAGAGATGATCCGACGAGAGAGGCGGTGACTGAACATGCTGAGGCTACACGGTTAGATTATATATGCTCTTAATCCGACGGTTAGAGCAACAATTAAGCGGCTCAATTGCCGCTTCTGTTCTGATTGTGAGATTACGACTGCCGATTCTATTCTAAATATGAGATTAAGAGCCCCTAATCTCAGATGTTTTCGGATATGGTTTAAATGCAAAGTCAATGTGAGATTACGACTGCCGATTCTATTCATTTGTTTGACAATGTATATTCCGATATCATCTTCAACGTGATGCATTTCTTACTTTTTCTCGTTCCATGAGATAATTTATCTCTATTTTTATTGATTTTTTTATGATCTGTATTTGAAGGAAGAAATGCTAAAAATTGTAATGGCTCTTTGTTTATAACCAACTTTATTTCTATTAGGGAATACAAGTCCTAGTGTTAAATTTCACAAAGCTCAAAATTATGTACTGTGTCAATTTGGTCAATCATGATGGGTCAATCTCATTTTATGTACATCATGTCAGAAAATGGACTGAAGAAGGGCCCTTGGACCCTGAAGAAGATAAAAAACTCATTGATTTCATACAGAATCATGGCTAAGGCAACTTCCGAAACCGTCCAAAGAATGCTGGTAATTTTCGTCTTTCTTTTCTTCACACTTTGATGTACTAAATATGCACTTAAAATTTTGCATAGTTGAAAATTTCAAGCCAATTAGCAATTTTTGTTGACTTTTGTTGATGTAGGGCTTTAGGGACATAGAAAGAATTGTTCAATTAGTTTGCATAGTTGAGAATTTCAAGGCGATAAGCAATTTTTGTTTATGTAAGGCTTCAACACTTGAAGGTTTTTACATAGTTTATACAAAGTTTTGTAGTTAATAAGAGATTCCAAATGATACTTTGGTCTATATCTATTTGGTTGACAATAATATGAATTTTTTTAATATGTTATGCAATCATATTTAATAATTGTACATTGACGCAGTCTTTGTATAAAGTCGGACAGTATTTATAATTTTAGATGTTATTTTAATTATTAAATATTTTTTGTTGAAATGGCGTAAACAACTTACTTTCCCGTCCTATTTAAAAAAAACAAATAAATAAAAAATGTGGAAAAAAACATATTTACGTCGTTTCAAAGCATGAAAATAAAATATTTTCATATAAATCATCATCAAGGACGAGACGTCCTAATTAATGGAATGTTGAAGATAAGAATTCGACAAAGAAAAAGTTGAAAAAATAATTACAATGAGTAAAAATTGAAAAGTTTAACTTCAATTAAATTATGATTTATCAAATAAAAATTGTCCATAGCTTTTGAGTAAATTTTAATCCAGTCATCAATTTTGCCCTCCACTTGACTGAATTCATTTTTTGACTAAGATTCATTGGCACTTGCTTGGTAAATACATGGCAGCCTTTTTAACAAATTAGCAATTTTACCATCCACTGACTTAGGCTGAATCCTAAATAAGGACTAAATGACTGAATACATTTTTTGACTAAGACTAATGTAATCTAACCATGAGATTAAGAGCTCTTAATCTCACGGTTAGAATAGATTCGGTGAGCAACGACACTAATCGCTTTTGTTCTAACCATGAGATTAAGCTTAATCTTACGGTTAGAACAAAAGCGGCTGGTGCCGTTGCTCACCGAATCTATTCTAACCGTGAGATTAAGAGCTCTTAATCTCATGGTTAGATTACATTAGTCTTAGTCAAAAAATGTATTCCGTCATTTAGTCCTTATTTAGGATTCAGCCTAAGTCAGTGGATGGTAAAATTGCTAATTTGTTAAAAAGGCTGCCATGTATTTACCAAGCAAGTGCCAATGAATCTTAGTCAAAAAATGAATTCAGTCAAGTGGAGGGCAAAATTGATGACTGGATTAAAATTTACTCAAAAGCTATGGACAATTTTTATTTGATAAATCATAATTTAATTGAAGTTAAACTTTTCAATTTTTACTCATTGTAATTATTTTTTCAACTTTTTCTTTGTCGAATTCTTATCTTCATCATTCCATTAAATAGGACGTCTCGTTCTTGATGACGATTTATATGAAAATATTTTATTTTCATGCTTTGGAACGACGTAAATATGTTTTTTCAAATTATTTATTTATTTTTAAATAGGATGGGAAAGTAAGTTGTTTATGCCATTTCAACAGACTTTTGAATGTAAAATTGTTACCAAATACAAAATACGTTAAAAATGAAAAGTATGAGGATAGGAATGATATGAAAAATTGTAAGGGGACGTAACTGCAAATATAATTACCCAAAACAATGTTCTAAAAAGCGTAAATTGTGACTAAGTGTGGATGTCTAATTTCAAGCTTTACAAGCTTGTCTATGCGTCAAAAAAAAAGGTTCTTATTTTTAATTTTTAATCATTCTAAACCAAACATCTAAAATTATAAATAATATATTACTTAATAATCACTACAATTAGTCAATTATATGATTTTTAAGTTTTTGAAATGCAAAAATTAGACTATTTTTCATAATTTTAATTTTTTAACTAGACAAGTCTTACTCAATAAATTTATACGAGCTTCGAACATTATTTCAGAATTAATAGATTTTCATTGTTTTGTAAGAAAATTGACTAAATACTCTCAAAAGCTTGTTTAGGAACTAAAAAGTTGTTCACGTGTATGGCACAAGTGATCAATTCTTGTATGATTTTGTGAAACTAAACCCTTGTTTGGGAACAATTAAAATGTAATTTTGGAAAAAAAAATAAAATACTTTGAAATGGTGATTTTTAGATAACGTAGGGTTAAAAAGTAAGGAATTTTTTTTTGATTTATGTGTAATATTATTTTATTAGAGAATGTATAATTGAAAATGAGTTTTGAGATAATGGGAGCCAAACATCGGCTAATATATAATGGGGCCTTCACAAATGATCAATCCAAGAGTCAAAATCATAAGTGTTGAAAATACTTGAGACTATTAACTAACACAAAGGAGTTTCTAGGCTGGGAAACCAAGATCAAGTTGCGTGATGGCACTCCTCACTTGGAGAAGGATTTTCACAAATTACAACGAAACAAATATTTTTAGTTTAGAAATACATGTCCTTTAAAAGCTATGCTTGAATGAGAGGTGTGCATGTGTAACATTGTACCCAAGAAAAGCAATACATTCACAGTTATGCCATTTTCTACAATTCATTTAGGGCCTATTTGATTGGTTCGAATTCCATAGAAAATAGAATTTGAATTCCACCTTTTCCCAATTTTGTGTGTTTGATATGTTTTATTTTCCATGAAATTCTATTTTCTTGGTTGTATTGGGAATTGGCATTTTCTTGGTCTTCAAGGAAAACCAATTCCCACTAATATATTGGTGGGAATTGGTTTTCCAACCCACTGTTCACGTTTTTTTGTTTTTTGTTGTTTGTTTTTTTTGGCAATGAAAACAATTTTAAGAATTATTGTAAAAAATTATTTCCCTTTAATTGACAATTTTTATGTAAAATAAAGTCAAATGAACACCAAAAGATAGATGATTTTTTTTTTTTGGCAATGAAAATAATTTCTATCCCTAATACCAGTAAATTTGATCCTTTTAATTGACAATTTTCATATAAAATAAAATCAAACGAACCCCAAAAATATACTTTTATTTCATCATTTTCTACGTGAAAAATTATAACAATCAAATACAAAAATTAACAATTTCCAGGAAAACAATTTCTAGGCAATTCAATTCCCTGAAATTCATTTTCTTTCCACCCAAATTTCATCTTTGCAATCAAACGGACCCTTACAGTAAATGCAATATTTACCTTGCTCAGTGGAAGAGAGAAACAGACCAAGATAGGAAAAAATGAAACATTGAGATCTTGATAATGCTATCAATGTTCCCGTAGACTAGCTTCAGCTTCCTACGATCTTTTGAAAGATACGAAGATAAAGCAAATACATTCTCCATCACAAACGATGCCAACTGCAAATAGTCCATCCATCTTCAGAAGCAGAGGCATTTAAACATCTCGTCCTAGATATTCACCAAGTTTATCCCATATGTTGAAGCACGGGTTTGAAAGCTTGTTCTCCATAAAATGCTGATTGATTCTATGTAACCATAAAGATTGTTGCCTAGTATGAAAGCCCAGCTTCAAAACCCCCTAATATGAAGTAAAAATCCTTTCCTGTTGCAAGAACAGAGCAAACATTAAACCTCAACATATCAAGAATAAAAATCAGCCATAATAACTCTTCTTACATTTCTCTGTCGTCCCAGCCTATAGAGTAAGGGCACGAACTCAGCTTAATCCATTTCAAAGAAGAGATATTCAAATACTGAAATTTCACTTATAATACATATTCTCTCAATAAATTCATTTAGCCTTGTTTGAGTCCTATTTTTTAAAAATTTAATTTTTTCTGAAATTAAATTTTAATTACATATTCTTTCGACTAAATAATTTTACACTTAAAATTCAATTTCTTTCTTTCTTTTTACTTTTTAATCACACATTCTTTAAAAAATATCATCATAGCACCCCCGGTAAAAAGCTATTGGCTCTCATTTAAAGCCGTCCTAAACTCCCACACTATAAAGCCTTTCCTTTGTTTATATAAAGCCCTCTCTTTGATTTGGTGCCAAGTCAGGATTCGGCCAACTATTTAGGTTCATGATCTTTCACCTTGGTCTGAGGTAAAAAGATTCCTTTCCACAAACACCTAATTCAAAGAGATCAGACAATCCCAGATCGAAGAAAGGTTTTTTAGGATAGAAAAGCTACTTAACTTCCATTCAAACCTATTATTTTCTTTTGTAATATAATGGTTAAAGACTAAAAAAATATATCTTAAATTGAATTCACTAGCAAAGACCACGTGTTCAGTTTCTATTCAAATTTAATTTTGATTAGAAGTCTTTGATCGATATCCTAAAAACTTTAAAATTTGAACATGGTCTCGAATCTTAAGGGCCATTTCTGACAATATAACACAATCTTTACCTCGTATAAATAGTGGACTGATCTAAGAAAGGTTGGGTTGGAGTCATATGGGCCGAGGCCCCTGTGATTAAAAACCAATATGAGGCCTTATTTTCGAAAAGGGAACATGAAGAATTGAGGGCTTCAGCAAGTCGAGCCTCAAAGGTAGACCAAGATGTTTATACTGTTGCTCTCATCAGTCCACATAGTGACCCTAAGCGTAATAGATTTGGCAGCAAGGGGGTCACCTATTAGAGAAACATCCCTATCCTCGTCTATGCCACCAATTCGACTGTGCTGGTTGCAAGACAAAGAGCTTCACTGATTAAACTTTGTAGGGTTGCGATTGGTAGTTGTGAGTGCCATAGGAGATGGTGTACCCTGCTCCAGGAATTTTTGAAAGAGCTCAGAGCTCAAAGCTCTCTACCTTTGGCACAAGATCTAGAAAACATGGCAAATGGGTAAGGACCATTTAGACTATAGAGAAGCTCTAGAATTTCAAGTTGAGGCCTCGAAGGAACCAGTGCACTTTGTCAATAGCATCAACGGGTTGTTCGATTGCATGGAGTTGATCGAAGATGGCCTTGAAGGCACTGGCGTATTCCTAAACAGATCTGGTGCCTCGTTTAATTAGTTGCAAATCATCCATGAGATGAATTTCACGTGTTTTGGAGCGGTGGCTGAAGGTATTCTCTAAGGTAACCCACACTTCACTTGAAGTGGAAAGCCCCACAAGTTCTACCATGGCTTTCTCAGCGAGGGAGAACATCAAAAGGCTAGAGAGGTATTGATCAGTTTGTTTCCATGGCACATGTTTGATATTTGATGTCTGAGAATCTTCAGGGGAAAAACGGGGTAGGGTTTCTATAGTTCCATCCACATAGCTGATGAGTACTTGGCTTTCTAAAAGGGGAAGCAAATAGCTTTTCCATAGAAGATAGCTGGAAGAGGATAGTTTGATTGTAACCATGTGGATGAGGGTATTGAAAGGGAGAAGATTGGAAGAGGATTTGACATTTATGGAAAGGAAGACAGGATCGTGTAAGGGAGGTTAATTCGCAGAGTGCTCTGATACCATGAGAGTGTTTGGAAAACCACACCACGCTTTCTAGTGGTGAGTTGATTTCATATTTATATCCATATTTACATAATCATAAATGATATGATTAAAATAAAATGGAAATAATACAATTGAATGGAAATAATTAAGCAAACAAGATGGAAGTTAAAATTATGGATAAAATGAGAATGCAAACGGGAAGTCTTGAATTAAGGCTGAGGATCCTTAGCATGATCCTCAACAAATGTTATGTGTAGCATGAGAGGTGAGAAAAAAAATTGGTGTTTACTTCATGTATGGTGAAACCTCCGGTAACGAGTAACGTGACTCAATATCAATAATGAGGATGATGCTTGAAATGTGCTTTTTCCAATTTTTTTTTTCTATGAACAAATCAACAAACATAAGGAGAAGTGCTGATTTCGACTTCCACCTGCATTGGTCTTTCTATTCTCAAATTAAAAAACCTCCAACCATCAAGTGTCGTAAATATAAAGGGACTCATTCTTTTATTAATTTTTCTTTAATAAGTTAATTCACCACACTACCCTTCATTTCCTATTAGTTATTAATATTGGTATTAGTTTGTAGTATTTAAAAAGTTGTGGACCACAGAGAAATTAAAACATTATTTGTTTCTACCTTCTTCCTTTTTTCCTTTTTTTGGGTTTGTTTCTTCATTTCTATCATTCAAGTCCCTCTAGAATCTAGGCCCTCCCAATAATTTCTTCCTCATCATACTCACTTCCGATCTGAGTTAACTCGTTCATATCTATCTTTGCAAACTGATTTTATTCCCGGTACTGCTTCCCCAACCTGTTTCAATATTATCTTGGTCATTTGGTTTGTCTAATATTCTTGTTTCTTCAATTTCTTGAATTTGAATTAACTGGGTTTTTTCAATTTGATCGGATGGTGGTAGTTACATAATTGAACAGTGATAGACTTTTTTTTCTTGATCAAAGATTTGATGATCTTTTATTCTAGGGTTCTGTGAGCTGTCTGTAAATTTGTCAAGAAAATGCAACTCTGCTGTTTCTCTTCCCGATGGAGGTACAATTAAAATTTTCAATTTACATTAGAGCCAATTTGTTGAATAATTTATTAACTTCTATTCTAGGCCATTGCTATAAAATGTGTTTTTGTGTTATAGAAGTTGGTTTTAGGACTTTTATTTGTTGATGATAATTGGGCTAAGAATTTAGTTTAAGTAACTTGTTACTATGAAGGAAAGATGTAAAATTTACAGGAGCGCGATTAGTTTACTGATGCAGAAAATGTGTAATGTCACCAAGTGAAAAAGTTATATAGAGAACTTTTGTAACCCAGTTTGGGGATGTAGATTCTAAATGTTGCAACCCAATTTGAGGCAAACTGGAGCACAAAATGTATATTTTTGTTTATGGGGTTGTTGCATGAACAGAGGGAGACGTTTAATGTATCATGGCGTATGTAGATAAAATCCTAGATATTGTTAAATTTATCTCCCTATTAAGCGGTGCCATATGTGGAGCATTATGTAAAATCAATTTAATTAAGCAATGGTATAGATTATTGTCTTAGGCATACATGTTTCAAGGATATCTTTCCATTTCTAACTAAAACTTTAGAAAGAAATGAAAGTTCTTCAAATCTTTTTTATCCTTTTAACTTTTATTTTCCAGATGATTGTTCTGTTAATGAGTTACATAGAGGATTTGTAATAGATCTGAGTTTTATCCAATTGTGAGCTAGGATAAGTGGTTTTGGCTGTTAGGATAGTTGTAATTCTTTGGCTGAATTATGTCTTGAAATTTCACATTGGTTGAAATTTTGATCCATATTTTGCGATGGTAAATTAAGGAAAAGTTGATGCCATACTTATTATATTGCATCTAGACAATCTGAGACTTTTGAGTGCTTACTCTTATTTATGTTTATACATTCACATCTGCTTTCTTTACTAATATGCATAAATCTGGTTCAGCTGCATCATGATATTATTCTAATGATATTCTACCTGAAATTAATTATCTCAGCTGTAAACTTTGCTGTCTTTTAAGAAAATACTGACATGTAACTTGCTCTGTATGGGTCAATTAATGCTTTAGAGTGTTCGGCTAAGTCTAAAAGAAATTGAAAATACTTTTCCTGAAAGTAAATAAATTTGAGAACTAAAAACCTTAAATTCTTAAATAGCCTGGACATATTTCACAAAAAGGGAAGTTGCTTGAAAATGAACTTTTAAGCATTGCCAACATGCTTGTTAATCAGCATCTAACGCTTTAAATTGCTCAACTAATCTGTCTGGTGGTGTTTGCTCACTTTTGTATCATCCTTTTTTACTTCTTCAAACTGTCTCTTCATGGACTCTTATAATTGTGTCATATTATCTTCAGAGAAAAAGAAACAAAAGATTTCTGAAATCCAAGCAACTTTGGATGATGCTAGTGTTTTGGTAATGCAAAGCTTCCACCTTTATTTTGTCATAAGTTTTCTCTCAGTACTAATCTCAAATGAGTTGTATTTTCCTAGATTTGAAAAATGGATCTTGAGGCAAGAAGCTTGTAGCCAAGCTTGAAGCCTACACTACTTGCTAAGCTCAGGGGATATAAATCCGATCTAAATAAGTTGAAAAGGGAAGTGAAAAAACTAGCTTTGCCTAATTCAAATGTTCCTGGCCATGCAGATTTGTTAGAATTTGGAATGGCTGGTGCAAATTCAGTATACTTCTATGCAATTGCCCTTCTGATTTTTTTCATCCTTAATATATATCGTATATATATATATTGCATGGAGAATCGCAATTGGCTTCGACAATGTAAAGCATCATTTAGCCCCACAGGAAATAATTCAATTGTATCTGGTTGCACAGTAAGTGAAGACTTCTATTTTACCATTAATAGAGTCGTGCAAAGATTATCCTTGAGAATTATTTACTTTTTTTAAATAGGTAATTTAATAAAAACAGACCTCACTTATGGTGAAGGAATACTGTGGTGACAATATAGCCTTACAAATAGCAAACTAAAAAGCTAGACAAATCAACTTACTTACGTAAATATGGCATTCCTATGTGGTCCAACCGATCAAGGCCACGAGCATGCACAGGCAAGTCATTAGTAGATGTAAAATGCTGCATCACACCTTATGCCCCCATTTTTGCTAATGAATCCGCCACTTGATTTGCTTCCCTGAACTGGTATGAAACTTGTATATCAAATAAACTCATTAAATTCAATAACTCCTCCCAAAAATCCCACAAATACCAAATTGTGCACTTGCGTTTCAACATCCATTCCACAACGATTTTGGAATTACATTCAATATCAACCTAAAAAACTCCTATATGCTGGCAAAGTTTAGGCCCCTCAATAATAGCTCTTAGCTCAGCTTCGTTATTCGATGCTATCCCAAAATTGCTTGCAAACGCCGCTAGCACCATTCATTTGTCATTGTGTATCACTCTTCCTCTACCTGCCTGTCCTAGGTTTCCTAAACTACTCCTATCTACATTGATCGTTACTCTCCTATCCATTGGTTTTTTCTACGTCACCAAGTGTGTAGGTAATATTTTCCTTACCACACAAGGAATGCCCATATCTTTTAGGATATTTTCCTCCTCATATGTCAATACTCTTGTCTTTGTAACATTATTTGCCAATTGTTGCAGCCAAGATTTAATAGACAAAACATCTTCAATTGATTCATTAAGACCCTCCATCTTTGCTCTACATCTTTGAATCCAAAGTCTCCAAGTTGCTAAACATGGGATTAGCCCCTGTAAGCATCCTAATTGAGAGGACCTATTGGCTTGAGCCCAGCAAATTTGTATCCTATCCCACCATGCTTGCTTTTCATACCACCTAACACCAAGGATAGAGGAAAGTCTCCTTCACACCTCGTCTGCGAATTCTCCAGAGCTTAAGATATGGTTAGCATCCTCCTCATGGCTAGCTGTGCAACAATTACATCGAGATACCATAGCCACTCCAACTTGACAAATCTTATCATCAACACTAAGCTTTCCCGACAAGGCTTTCCACATCACAACTGAAGCCCTCTTAGGAAGGGCAGTATGCCACACCCATTGCAACCACTCCACTATGGAAGCCCTCGCTCGAATCACATCCTAAGCATTTTTGGTTGAGAATCTTCCTTGTACATTTGGTCTCCATATGAGAATATCCTTTTTAGATTTTTGACCTTCTACTTTTCTCATTATGCTTGTTGCCATGTCGATCCCTACTAACTGACCCAACCTATCAATATCCTAGGCAATTTCCAAGCAGATTTCACGAACCTTCAAACTAGGTTGAACAATCTGATCCACTCTTTGGCAAAGTGGGCCCTCTTCTAACCATTTATCGTACCAAATGATATTTTTCCTTCCCTAATCTTTCATTGGCTATTAGCAACCACATCAGGGAAACAATCCATCAAAAATTTCCAAAACCTTGAGCCCATATGACCCAGGTTTTCTACATCCACCAAACCCTTTGGTGTATATTTTGATTTGAAAAAGCGGGCCCACAACAAATCAACAGTAAGCACTTTCCAAGCAAATTTCATGTGGAGAGACTTTTGAATTTCTTCAAACCTACAAATCCCAAGGCCTCCCTCCATTAGTGGTGTACAAATTTTCTTCCATGAGCACCATTTTTCCTATTTCTTCCATTAATCTCTCCCCAAAGAAAGAGGATAATATGGAATTTAAGGTCGTGAAAACTGATTTAGGAACACTTAGAACAGATAATAAATGGGTTGCCATACATGATAAAACATGTCTCAATAACACAAGACGACCTCCTTGTGATAAAAGTTGTCTTTTCCATCCTGCAATCTTTTTTTTTTTTTGAATTTTCTTCACTAAAAGCTGTAGATGACGAGCATTCAATCTTTCTACCACCACTGGCACCCCAAATAAGTTATTGGAAAAAAGCCCTCTCTGAAAGAACTTAACCGAAGAACCTCATTCTTGCGAGATGCCCCATAATGTTTAGCAAAGAAAATAGCTAACTTCTCTTTATTGATAACTTGGCCTATCCATTTTTCATATAATTGAAAGGTCTCCATTAAAGCTTTTATCGATCTTTTACTTCCATTAGCAAAGTTTACAATATCATTAGCATATAGCAAATGCGAATCGAATGTGCACCTCAGGGATGTGAATAAACACCTATGCAGCCATCTACGAATTTTTTTTCTCACTAGCCTAGTCAACACATCTTCCTTGATAATAAATAAATATGGGGACATAGGATCACCTTGCCTCAGTTAATATTAGGATTTGGTATCTTTTATGGTTTTCTTTTTCAATTCCTAGATCAACTGGAAAATTAAGTGATAGATGTCAATGTCATGATGAGATTGTATAGATTAGCTAGATTTAACCAAGATGAATGTTTGTTCAAAATGTCAATATAGTTATGTTCTCACTTTCTATTATCCTATTTTATTATGCTATGTTAGCTTTTACCAAAGAGAAGAGTTGAGCAGCGTTTGACTTGGGTATCCTCCTTAGACATATTTTTCAACTAAATTAGTGCTTATCTCATTGTTGCTGACTCTACATATGATAATTTCAACTGAGAGGGTCAACCAATCAACTGACAGAATCAAGGAAAGTCGACGTGCTACACTAGAGACAGAAGAGCTCGAAGTGTCAATTCTTGAAGATTTGCAATAGCAACGTGAAACTCTCTTGCATTCCCATAAGAAGGCATGTGTCACTTTCCAAGAGTTCTTAGCTCCCATTTCGCCCCCATCTTTTGAAATGAAAATTGTATTTTTCAACAGAAAATGTAAAAATAGATGTAAACTTACATCTTCTTTCATCCATGAGAGGCAAAAAGTGGATTTAGATCTTCCAATTTGAGCAAAATTTGAATTTAGATACATTGGAATGTAAATGAGAATGCAAAAGTGATTTTAAAGATATCAATTTACACCCAATTTTACATCACAATTGGAGATGCTCTAATCTACTTATTAAATAGATCCTTCTATACACTGGTGGATCCTGGCACAGGCTTGGCCAAGCTATAACCCATGTCCACCCCTGAAAATGTCCACTTTTTTCTTAGTTTTTTTAAAGAAAAATCCATGTATATCTGTATTGTAGCCTGCGTCCAAACTCAATGCTAGATCCGTGATAAGTGTATTTTATATACTTATTCGGTACCTT